AATTTTCCAAACAAGACAGTCCATGTTAGTGAATATCCGTCAGGCGTGATTAAAAGGAGGCAAAAAGTAGGACAGTAATCGGTCATGCCAGGAAGCTAAAGGGCGCGAAAGACCCTTACCGCGGCAACACGAGGTTGAGTACGTGAGCTACCTGCTTAGAGTTCTGGTTTGCTTCTCCGTATTACAGCGGCCTCACAGGAGACGCCGGCTTGCCCTCCGTAGAAGGACCCTCAACGCAGTCCTTGTGTCCACCAGCCGCTTTGTGATTGAAATATTGGATATGTTATTTTCCTAGATCTCCATCTTAGACCAACAGCTCACGTTTTATTTACCTATCAAGTTTCAGCCTTTTAGGTTGATACTCCATTGGACAGTTTATCTTCATAATATGTGATGACCATATGCAGTTGAATAAAGTCAAAAAATTCCATGACGTCATTAAACCTTTACTCGTCCGCCGTTTCGGATTCCTGCTCGAACCCATCATCAGTGGCAGCATCAAGTACGCTTGTATCGGCAGTCCCCGACTCCCTATTTTGTAAATTGCTATTGCTGCATGCGACCCACTAAGAAGAATCCGCACACTGAACATACACAACCAAGATGCCGAGGGAGGCTTTTCCAACTCTCACAGTTTTGTGGAAGTCGATAATGCACCCTGAAAGGAGACAGTTACCAAATCGTTTTTTCCACCCACGACTTTGCAGTGTTTCACATAACTTTCTGTCCTATAAGACACGAATTATAAACCGATTTCCTTGCCAACCAATAAGCACTTTCTAGTTACAGCCGACAAGGACTTAAGTTGAGTGATATTAAGTGCCACAAATTCAGTTATTACTGTGACAGTTCCCCAAAATGCTAACAAAAGATGCAAACACATGGCAGCCTTTTACATTTTTGCAATTTCCCAGAGGAATATGATTAACTTTAATTGGTACCATCTCGCTTTACACTTGGATTAAAAAGACAAGGGAAATTGCGCAAAATGGTCTGCGAAGGACGGTCCAAACAGCCAAGGTGATGCGTCGGGCCTCGGTTGGCCGCTGGAGACCACAAAGTTGCTGCTTGTCAAAACAGTCGGCGGCTGCGGTGGCGGCGGTTTAAGGGCCGTCAGAAACAGGTCACATACACAGACGACC